AGATATTAAAATTGGAAATGTGGCTCATATAACTTTGGAGTTGTTGGACAGAGTCACTTTACCATCTAGTACAGAAATAACATCAGTAAAACTGATCTGAAAGTCACCCAAGATTACGAGGTCGGTGATCAAGGCCCTAGTGCCGGGAATGCAAATCTTCGAACGCCGAACAAAGTGGTTTCGGTTTTCCATTTGCTTAGTGGATTTGTTTTCTTTTCATCTATGGAATTTTGAAGGATGATGAATTTATTTGGATAGCTCCCACCCCTTATATCTCCTTTCCATAACCTTTCTTCCTCTCTCCTGAATCCTTTCTCTCCTGAAGGATTAGCTGACGCCTTTATCACTTAATGCCAGTGCATTATGCCGCCATATACTGTAGGTATTTGTTTTTCTGGAGACTAAATTCATCACTTACTGTACAGACAGTTACCACCTTGTAGCCTGATCTTCTTAGATTTAAAAAGCTAAGTATGGTATGGTACTGTAGACCTCTAAGACAATTTGTTAATGAATGATTTTTAATCCAGTTGTAATCCTCACAGCATATTTTCCAGAATTATTTTTACAGTGGACATATTGTGGACATACTCAATAAGTAAAATTTAAATTAATGCTTTTCCCTGAATCCAATACCATTGTGTTATTGTTAAATATTAGCAAATGTATATATTATTTACTAAATGTACTGTATATACTGTAGTAACACAGTCGGATGCTGGATGTTTGTGGAAGATGGCCATAGTTTATGGAAAGACAGCAGTATTAATAACGGGGAATAGTACTGTGTTCCTATTAGTTCTCATGTCTGTGTTCCAGTCCTGGTTTTTGTTTCACTAGTATCATTTTTGTCAGCCAGTCCATGTCCCAAAACTGCCATAGAAAGTTCCTCATCCAGAATAATGCTCTTCAAGTTTTAGTCAGTCTAGAAATTTATCTTGTTCAGAGAACCAAGTAACAGGAAATGGTTAAATTGTCACAAAGGTTGTGAAACAGTCAAAAAAGTGATAATATGATAAAATACACATACACACTCAGGAATATGTCAGAAAAGTGACAGGTGCAAGTCTGTTGGGTCAGAAAAAAAAATAAATACAGAAGGGGGTGGTCTCTTACATTAACAACCACACAAGAGGAATTTTTAATGACTAGTTTTACATCTCATCCAAAGGAAAGCACCTGTTTACAGTATAGTGTCCTCATCACTATAGTAGGGCATTAGGACCCACATGGACTGCAGGGTGAGCACCCCCTGCTGGCCCCACTAACACATCTTCCAGCAGCAACCTTAGTTTTTCCCAGGAGGTCTCTCATCCAGGTACTGACCAGGCTCACACCTGCTTAGCTCCATGGGTTGCCAGTTGTGAGTTGCAGGGTGATGTTTAGCATACAAGCTCAGTACAATGAATGGAATCATAAAATTAATATCTGGAAAGAATAATACTACAGTAAAATATTTCAATATAATTTATGATTAATCATAATTGATACTGTGTATAGAAAAATATTGATCCAAGATCTCAGAGGAATAGCTTATTCATTGTTTGATAGAATAGATTTTTTGTCTTTCAGCTGTCTTTTTTGGGTCATATGCATGTTCCTTTGATACCATTTGTTTTTAGATAGAAATTGCTTAGCTTCAGTGAGTTTCTAGTTGTGAGTTGCAGGGTGATATGGCTGCTGGACTACACTGGATAGACTACACTGGAATTTCATTGTTTCAGTATTCAGTTGTCTTAGTGGAAACTTTAAACCTCATTGCCGGTTTTACATTGTAAATTTATTGTGGCAGTTTGTGTGAATTGGAAATAGACCTTTCTTGTGAAAAGCATGTGAATTTATCAAACATTTACAGCAGTTATTGTTTGTTTCTGTGTCAGCAGACATTGTGGAATGTTGCAATGCTTATCTCTCATTATCAAGCTGCTTCAAATTAAACGAGCCGTCAAATAATCATGTAATCAGCTGTTGAATATAATATAAAATATATTTAATGATCAAGGACTGTTAAGGCCATTCTGTAACTGGTGATTAAACATCAAGCTTAAGAGAAAGTAAACTGACAACATCTTTACAGCTTTACAGCATTGAGGTTGAATACACTACTGTATCATCCACAAGGTCCTTCAGTAACAAGAATGAACAGCAATTAGGAAGAACCAAGCTTTAAAACTGTACATTATTAATTTAATAGGCTAACAATACATAGTCATAACCGTTTATTACTGTATATGTGACAAATCAACTTAATTTCAGAAATGATTTCAATGTCATTGTATGCAGTTATTCTTAAAAACCCACAATGAATGTCTATTTTTAGACATATAGCCAGTAAGAATAAAATCAACCTTAGATGCCTCTGAATGTCCATTCCCTGTACAGTAAAATTGAAATGCTCTTAAAGTCCCTAGAATTTATATTGAACTTGTCTTTTGGTGTAATTAACTGACATTAAGTATGTCAAGACTTTTCCTTAGATTGAATTGAGGTTTCAAATATGTAGCCACATTTGTGAATATTTGTTTAGGCCTTAGTATTACAAGGACGTTAGAAAGATGTTCAACCCCTTCTATTGTACAAATTGTATTGGCCTTGAGGAGGTAAGGGTTGAGTATAATTCTAATTAAACTGTTAATAAGTTATGTCTGAAGTAATACACTCAGGTTCTGAGGGTTGATTGTGTTCAGGTAAGTGTCACGATCTCTAACCCTCCTCTTAAGGGCGCTCCAGCCCTTCCTTGTTCCTATGCCCCATTGTCTGCACCTGGTCCCTAATCCGGCTCCCCCTTAAAAGCCAGACGCGGACCTTACTCCTGGTTCCTCATTAATTTCCACATCGTGAGAGCCCGGGGTCTTGCTGCGTCTGGCTCCGTCTGGCTCCGTTATGCTTTTATCTTCCAAGTTGCTAGTTCCTAGTTCTTAGTTCCCCTCGCTGGTTCCGACCCGGTTCCTGTTCCCCCCCCACCGGATGGATCACCTGGCTATGTACTTAAGCCCTTGTTTTTGATTTCACGTTTGGATTTCCTACATGGATTGTTCGCCTGGATTCACTTCCCCTGGACACCTGCACTGCATGGACACGCCCCCCGTCTCCAGACCCTTTTCCTGCATGACTGTTTTTCCCCTTGTGTCTTCACTATTCTGGATCGTGTCGTCCGCATAGGGCCCAGATAGAACTGTACGTGACAGTAAGGAGGCGATTTTCAAACTTTGTTTTTATCAACAAAGAAAAATACAGTAAGGAATCATTGTGCCCTGTATATCAAGAAAACGGTGCCTTCTTGCCATCATTATGATGGAGACAGGTGTTCACATTCAACAATTCATAAACTTACTAAATGTTTCATTCAAAGAGAGTTCATCAATGATAGTCCATATTCTTGGAGACCATGATTCATGACATCTTATTAATTTGGGAGGCCCAAGTGTGATGGACTGACCAGGAGTATCTGGTTCCTAGAGAACTCCACTTGGAAAGATTGATGAAAGTCATTGATTCAAATCCTAGCCCTCACTTGCTGCCCTTTCTGTAGGCACATGCTAGCAAGACAGCTGCTCGTTTAACAATAGCTTTCTTGCAAGATGAGAATGTGACACTTACACCAAGGATGCCCAGCTCAACTGACTTGAACTGGAATGAACTGGGAAGATGTGTCACTCAAAGACAGTAATATAATGCTTTTATAGGCTCTACAATAACAATGGCACAGAATCCCACAAGAAAACATCTGCACTAATGTTCTACACATGTATCACAGATGTACAGCTTGTAGTGTTTGCTATGATAATGCCGGAGACTTCCACAGTAGACCCCTGCAGATCAATCCTGTGAATGACAAATGTTAGGCAGCAAAAAAACTATGCTACAAAAATATTAGTGTTCTGGTAATAACAGTGAATTTGTTGTAGTTATAAGGTGCTAAGTCTGATGCTTACTATAATTCGATTTTTTATATCTGATCTTATTTAATATTTTTCACATGGAAAATGCTTATATCTGTAGTATAGCATATGCTGTAAAAATGTTCTGTTTAGCGCCAACACATCTTATAAAATTGTAACAGGTTTATAAGTAATGTTAATGAATGTTATAACATTGATAATTGTATTTGGAAACAATGGATCTTATGTTCAGTCTAACATTTGGGGCTGGTTCCCTAGTACTAAATAGACTATATTTTAATGTACAGAGCTGCAGAGGATTTTACCTGTTATTCTCATTAATACTGTTTTTCAATATATTCTTTGAAAACTGTGGAACAAGTAGCTACATTTTACAAGACAGTAAGCAAACTGTCAAAATGTGCTGTGCCACATTACATAATATAAATTTACTGGAAAATGTCAAGGGTGATTGCGTTTCCACTGTGCAAAAGGTATATGAAGTCATGAATCATTTTTGATTAAACAAAAACACACTCGCTTAGTTTACACAGGCTTTTCTTGTTTTATACTATATTTAATGCTTTGAAAACAACTTACAGTATGCATAAAGTATGATGTTGTGTATACTTCTGTTCAGTGATTGAATAAAATTGAACAGCTTTGAGAATGAACGTGAATAGTGCTATATTTGATAATCAGAAAAGTTTCTCTTTGTAGTGTTAGATACTGTACTGCTAATGGGCTCACCCATCCTATTTGGATTATTTTTAAGTTGAATTAAACAGTCATGTTTGTTCATTGGCCTCATGCTTAATAATATTGTATATTGGTGCTGACAGATATTTCATTTACAGCCTCTGTGCAGCTAGTTATACACTTACTTGGAACTGTTCTGAAAAACTTCCCATTTAGATGGCATTGATACTAGAACATTTAACTGTAATGTGTGGCCATCAAATCTCAATTAAATGAATTTATGTATGTGATAAAACTGTGAAAACCCATTCACCTTCCCTGACCCCTTGAACTTTACAGTTATGGGAGCTATTGCAATGGTTACTGTATGTAACTGTAAACTGGTGGTTTCTGTTAAAACTTATGTTTTGTTTTTTTCAGACATGGTTTGAGAAGAACTGTTTATCTGATGACTGTGCTGCAGATCTCAGGCTGCTTGGAAAACTTTTGCTCTCTGGGTATGTCAGTTTTTAAGCTTCATGTGTTTTATGTTTCTTTGTCAAAGGAAAGGGACAGGGGTGGTGTCTGCAGTGTGCCACTTCTGAAACAATATCCCCATGAAAAATCCTATTAAAAACCTTACCATTGTGTGTTGCTTTGTGGCTTAAAGATGTTGAACTGTACATGTGCCAATGATTGATCTCAGTGCTTTTCCACCTCTGTGCTATGATACAGTACCCTCACTCAGTGAGAATACACATTCTCAAAAACTAGGCACAATCAAGACCTAGGTACAGTCTTGAGATGATGAACAATTGCATTGTATTTTTTAAATTCTGTTATTTTGATTTTAATGATCATACGTGTATCAAGCTCCATATTGAATTTAATATGAAGCAAAGGTCTCAAAATTCACATTAGCCTAGTTTACCTGTTTTACTGTAACAATGGGAAAAGCCACCACAGTAAAGAACACAGTAGCATCCTTAGACCTGTAGGTACAGCATCATGTGTTAATGTTTAAATTCCAATATTTATGTAACGAACAGTTATTTCCGGACCCTATGCGGACGACACAATCCGAAGAAGGGGGGAAACACAAGGAAAACATCATGCAGGAATACGGAGCTGAAAACAGGGGGGCGTGTCCAAAGTGCGCTGGTGCACGGGGGAGGTGTAGCCGAGGCAACAATCCAAAAGTAATCCATTGAGGGAATCCAAATACACAAGAATAAGTCCATAGCCAGGTGATCCATCCAAACACGGAATTAAAAACAGGAACCGGCGGACTAGGAACAGGAACAGGAACAGAGGTTAAAACCTTAACGGGACCAGGCGCTTCCAGGTCCAGGACTTGCACGGTGCGGAAACCAGATGCAGAGCCAGGATGAGCATCAGCGCCTGGCTTTTAAGGTGGGCTGGGAATAGGTATCAGGTGCACAGAATTAAGTCTAAAGTGAAAGGGCTGGAGCACCCTTAAGGAGTGGGGACTATAATCGTGACAGTTTAGGTATTTGGACAACCGGTTGATGGACTGCCAAAACTGTTTAGGATTTAAAAATTTTTTGACATATTTGATACTTACTTTAATTTACCAGAAAAATATTTTAGACTGCAATATATTAGTTTAGCTTTCATAATTTTAGAAGATTGAAGTGAGGATAACAATACTGCAAAAATTCCTGTTATCTACTTTAGAGCTTTAGATGGTGCTTCCTTTGTGCTACTGTATTTGTTCTCTCATACTGCAGGTATTCAATTGCATATTGTCATGAATACAAAGAGGAAAACATTTTTTTCTTTATTTTGATTAATATTTCTTTTTAGAGCAGTTTGTTAGTAAGCCATTGAAATGTGCTTCACTGTCTAGAACATTCACTTCTCTTCAGAGAAAACAAGCATTGTTATTATTGGAATCAAGACTTTTTAAAATGTAAAGGGTGGAAAATCAAAATATGTTTGCGTTTTACTATTTTTAGATGTTCAGAACATTTCTCACAATCAGGAAGGTCACTTCTTGATTGCATGGCACAGGTGCAGGGCGGAGAAGGATATTAATTCATTTTCCTGTTGCATGAAGAATTGGTTTGGGTTTTAATCATATTCATCAAGAACCTCAGACTACAGTGTGTTCTTTCCATATACTGTAATATACCTAGTGCACAGGTAGCAAATATTTGTCAGCGTCTCTCAATCTAAAGTGTTTTGATCATAAAATTAAAGTCTGCCAGGACACTCTTACAATGCTGTCTGTGATCCTTCACATTTTTATGAATTTTAAATTGTGAATGCAGTATGTTTTTTAAGGAGAAGATGTTAGAAGACATTGTTACTAATCGATTCATGACAAATATCTTAAAAATATCTTTCTAAATCAATAGAAAAAATGAAATTGTCAGATGTTGTGACAGTATACTTTTTTCTGTGGTTTATGTTATTATTTCTGCTTTAGTGGTATCATCATGACTTCTGACCTTTTATGTTAGTCACAATGAACTAAGTACAGTTTTATTCATCAGTATACACCTGAGTGGTACTCTTAAGCTTGAAGCTCCTTTCCATTAGGTGATCTGATTGGAAGAAATAATTGGTCACATTGTCTGCCATTTTTGGGCCTTTTAGTAATCTAGCTCTACATGGTTTCATCCTCCTCATTATCTGTTTCACTTGATGCTGATGGCTGTGTAAAATCTGCTTTGGTCAACTCAGCATTTGCAGTTCAGTCAACCCTTGGTTATCACTTTCATCAGGCTCTTCAAAGCTTTCCTGTCTGCTGTAATGGCTAATTTCACAATTCATTTCACTTCAGTGGGGATGTCAGGGAATCCTGTGAAATCATGGGAAAATGTGTTAGAATGTATGGTGTGTATAGCAGGCTTTGCAGGTAGAGATGTTCATTTAGCTGTCTGGCTGCACATTCAAGGTGGTTTTAGGTGGTAGTAATACAATTTCAACATTTGTATGAGTGAACTTGAGGTTAATGGGTCCTCTTGAAGCATCATCTAGGATTAATAGAACTTTGAATGCCAGAATTTTTAAGCTTAGAAAGTATTCCTTTTTGTGGTTGAAACAATTGCTGAAGGAGTCCATTAATGCTTGTGCAGTGTTCCAATCCCCCTTGTTAGCTTTCCAGCAGAAGGAAATTATTCTTGTTTTGTCAAGATGAGCAGGGGTTTAAGATGGGGTAAATCCTGAGAAATAAGAACAAAGGGAACACTTTTTTGGAGGCATTCAATCATAATCCTACAGATAGTAGCTGTGCACCGTTGGCTCTGCAGCCTATGGTTCCTGTTGTATTGAGCAGGATTACTATTGCAGCAACACATCATCAGTAGGATTAGATTTACCTGTCTAATGATGATCTAAATCGTGTTCATGTGTATTAATGGGTAAACAACCCAAGGCTTGCTTATTTCTGCTTCACAGTGGCAGAGCCAATACCTGATAATCAAAAACTGAAATTGCTATGAACACTTCTCTGTCACAAGTCAGTTATGCCTGTGGTAAATATTCGGACTCTTTTGAATTTCAGCTTCCAGTGACAGTATTTGTGCTTGGAAATTAAAGTGCAGATTGGAGGGAACTTCCCGAACAAGCTAATTTTCTCACAGTTAAAACAGTTTTTTTTGGCTTTTAGTGCTCTAGAAGCTTAATGGTTGTCTTATGTAGATCTTCCCAGTCACTGCACATTGTGGAGAAACTAAAATGCTTTTTAAAACTGTTAAATTAGCATGTATCAGTTTCAAAATCTACTTCCTCCACACTCTTCACTATGTTTACATGATGCTCTTAGATGCATAGAGCCTTCTTCTGGATAACCGGTCCTCTTAAGTGGCAAGATTGATCACAATTAAGCAGAATTTACAAAGGCAATGCCAAAGTTAGCCCAATGTTAACTGGACATCTTCAGGATGGGCAGTGAAACAGAAACCAGAAACTACACTAAACAGCATTTAAAACCAAGAACAGGAGGCATTTCCTTACACAAAGGGTTGTGGGAAGGGAGTATGGATCATGCTACCCAGCCATGCTGTTGAATTCATAATCATGCCTTCTTTTAAGAGCCGTCTGGATGGGTTTCTTTGATCATTTGGTTAATAACAACCACACAGACTAGACAGGCAAAATATCCCCTTCATGTGTAACTGTTCTTCTGTTCTTATGAAACTTGTTATCCAGGAGAGGAAGTCTTTGATTAATCTCTGAAAAGTCTTCATGTGGTAAGTTTACAGAAAGAAGCAGGATGGTGTAATTAGGAAAGGCTGGCCACAGCCTGGACAGCTCTTTTAGTGGGTGTGTTTTTCCAGCTTTGCCCCATATTGCCATTTATTATCCCAGGCACAGCTATCAGAAACTATCTGAAATCTAAATAAACATTTTTTTCAAAATTCCAAGAGTTTACAGAGTACTGATACACCCAAGTAAATTGTAGATTGAATTTACTTTACTTTCAGTGAACCAATCAGGTATCAATCACTGAAGTATAGTTCAACAAAGTCCATTAAACAAAAGACATTTCTGAATAACATTGTCTCAAAATAGGGTTCCAATGTATTACATGCTAATGTTTGCATATTATGTGCTTAATATTTCATTTTTACTTATATAATTAAGTTAAAATCAAATAGAAAGCACATTTCTGGCATTTCTTTCTTGATTGTGATGATACCAGATCAACAAACAGATTTGAATAAGCAGTATCTGTCTGATGGAGAGATTCTGTTTTGCCAGGTTTTGGATAGTTTATATCAGACAGTGACCTTTAATTTTCCTTCCTAACAGGGAACTGTGTATGGGTTTTCCATTCAATTTAAACCAGATTTTGACATGATGCCCAGAACAGAGCAGAGATTTGTATTGCTTGTACAAATAACATCACCTTATCAGTAAAGTGCCCCTGCTTGTCATGGTTGATGTAGCGTATCTGTGGATATCTCTGAAAAACAGAGGATTAGACCTCAGGTGCAGTTGTGTTTTCCTAATAGATTTATGTAAGCCCTGCTAGCACACTTTCAGAACATGCCTGAGGGACACTAATGAAGGAGTTGCTGTAGGTTGTTAGGGTTGGTATAGATTTTGAATAAGAATTTATGAGCAAAGTCACAGTAGTTTTTTGAGGGCGATGAATAGTTGAAACCTTAAATTATTTAAAATAATTTTCAAAAGCTTTTATTTTTATAAGTCAATACAGTATGAGATCTGACCCAATAAATCTGACCCAATAAATCATATCATTGTACATTGTGCTTTGGGGAGTATGATGATTGAAGATTAACAGCAGTTGATCGATGGTTGGCAGCCACTACCCTGTTAGGTTCACATAAGATAATGTAGTACTGTATGTCACTACCTAGCATTCCCACAAGCTGCAAAGAGATTCATATATTTTTAAACAGCTGCAGGAAATTCATCCATCCATTTTCTAACCGTTTCATGCAATTCAGGGTCACAGGGGAGCTGAAATCTGTCCTAACAGGCAGCAGGCAAATGCAGGATACATCCTAGACAGGACGCCAATTCACAAACAGGCACACACCCAGGCCAAATTCCCCAGAAGCCAATTAACCTGCCAGTTCACTTTTGGACTGTGGGGGAAACCTACACTAACATGGGGCGAACTTACAAACTTCAGATACTACAACAGGTGCAGGGTTGAACCCAGGGTCCTAGCACTGCAAGGCAACAATGGTAACCACTGTGCCACCCCAAAGGGCATGCCATCATTTATCATGATAATTCAAAATTTTAATTTCCTTGAAGATGGCAACAGGTATTATTGATATGGTACAGGATTTCTTTTCAGATAAGTTAGTAAATACCTAACTAGATCAGTAACCTAGCCTTTTAATTTCACAGTTTTTAGCTTTTTATGAGGGCTCTGCCTTTTCAGAACACGTAGGCTGTCATAACAGAATTCTGTTTGTTAAGCAATGATTTGATACATGCATTGATTGGAATACATTCCCTTAAGTCAGAGTGCTCAGTCAGCAGTCATATACACCACCAATTAATGAGCCGCAAGTCCAATTAACAGTGTCCAAAAACATTTCAGCTCCATTTGTTTGCAGTTTAATATTTTAACAGTTAAGTCTTCTGGAACTGAAAGAAATGTAATAGAAAAAGTCTGGCATTTCTCATTTTTTTTAGAAAACAAATATGGAGAGCATAATTTATTCATGTACCATTGGCAGAACAATATTAAAATCTCTTTTCCTGGCTTGTGGGCATCGAAGTTCCATGCGGAAGACAAAATGAAAACAAAACATTGTATCAAATGTATTCAGTCTGCTGGTGAGTTTGGACCTAATTCGATTGGCACAGACCTTCAGCCTGTTGCGGACAATCAAGTTTACCTATTGTAAATGGATACATTTCTCATAGGTTTTTTCCCTGCTTTGACTAGGAAGTTTTTCTAAGTACTTTTTTGATCTGTGTTACTTTTGGCTCTCTAAGAGAAATAAAGACCTTGGAAATCCCAGCTCTTTCCCAAATGTACTGTACAATGGAAGGTAAATCCTCAAAAGAAGTTAACTTTTTAAAAACTATCTTGCATCTATTTAAATATTTATTTTCAAAATATAACTAAAGGCTAAACTGAGTACCATAATTGGTTTTATAATAAGAAAAACATATTAAAGAAAAACATGCAAGAGCAAGAGCAAATGAACTCTTATCAGCTGAGAACAAACCCTGACACTAATAGGCTGATTAGATTAAATTTCCAAACTGTGGAAAATATTTCATTACAAGGAAAACATTTTTTCACTGGAACATATTCTGTAAAATCTTGATTTAGGTTCTTTGGAGATAAATTCTCAACTGTGATTCACCCAGTAACCTTCTTCAGTGAAATAATTAAAACAACTATTGGTTTGTGATACTAGGTTCCAAAGCACATCCGTTGAGAGCCCCTGAAAACTGAAGAAACACTCCATGAGGGCATTTCAAAAGACAGCAGTTTTTTTGGTCCCTCTGTTTTGATTGGACAAATATACAGTACAGATCATCAGTCAGGATACACTGTAGATATGCCAGTAGGTTAAGGAAGTGGAAAGCAAAGGCACTGTTGTTTTAATCTCTGCCAGCAAGAGTGGAAACCATGGTTACAGAGTGTATTATTGTATTAATAACTGAATTCTTGAAAAAAGAGACATGCTAAAAACATAAAATTCTAAAAATATTGTAGTATGATCACAGAAATTCAGCAAATCATAGCTAATTCACATGTTGTTAGCTATATGATTCTAAAGTCATCGATAGATTGTTTTAGAAGAGTCCCAATTTATTTTTATGCTTATAATTTAGTTTTTCTGTAGTTGTTTTTTGCTTGTTATCTGTTGAAAACAAGAACTTAACTTTGATGTGCACAGAATACCTTAAAATTAACAGTAATGAAATTTTGGTCCTCTGATTCAGGAAGAGGGCTGGCCTGTGGTTGCTGGTTACAGCACTGACTCACTGTGGTTACCTGAGAAAGTTATTCAGCCTCTGTTCGGTTCTTTGTGTGAGATGTGATGCCAAAGTAAATGATTCTGCAGCAGCAGCTGTAAATGAATGTTTCACCTTCTAATCCGTGCAAGGGTGGTAAATAAAACATTTGCTGATGACTACAGTTGTTATTATTAGTTCATTTTAAGGGTTTGTTTTTCCGAATTAACTTTTCTTTATTCTTTTCACCCACCCTGCCCACACAGTGTCGACAGCAGGCCTTACCTGGCACTGGGAGGGGTGAAGAACATCTCTTTGAACTTGTCCATCTCCAATGCTGGAGATGATGCCTATGACACCAACATCTACTTCAACTTCTCAAAGGAGGTCTACTTCATCAAGATGTGGCAGAAGGTAGGGGAGATAACATGGTGATGCTGTCTGTGTGTTATAACCCTAAAACCCACTTTCCACTGAGATGTGCATAAAATATCAAAACAACTATAAGATTGAACCACAATATTTAAATAAACCAATCAGTTTGCACAATGAAAATGTGCATTACGGCTTTCATTGTGCTGTAATCTTTTAGTCATGGTATACCATTAATAACAAAAAAGAACTGTTTTCTAAAACCAAACATGCAGTAACACTTTATTTCATAGAACAATAGATATTACCTAAGAACCTTTTAAATTCAGTGATGGTAGAATGATAGTAGGGACTCAGAAAGAAATGTCTTTGTGGGAGAGTAAAAGATTCAAGCCTGAAGAGTGTGCATGCCATGATTTTATACCACTATTTGTATTCCCTTGCTTTACCATTTCCTATTACTGATGACAGGTAGAATTTCTGCCTTTGAATCCACACTAAAGTTTCACTGAAGCTAGACTCTGAGATATTGACTTGACCTTTGCTTTCAAAACAGAGGCCAATGATACAGTTTACCCAAGAGGGCCACTGCATAGACCATTCAGTATTAAATAACATGAATTACTTTCAACTCCTTGTGCTATACAGCAGGAGATAATATTGTATTTGTGTTTTTAATGCAACCTGAAGCGTCAGAAAGTGTCAGGAATGGCATTCATTTTAAGTTCACTGTATTTTTTACCTAAATTTCTGGCAGGCCATTCAAGTTTCTGTCAGGCTAGTTAATGAGGCAGAGAGAAGAGAGCTATAAATAAGGGGACCTCTTATTGTAGTTTTGGCAGACACATGATTAATGTTTCAACTCAACAGTTCAAAAATAGTTTTTATGCATAGAAACTGCAGAGCTTAAGAAATTGGTCTCTTATATTTAGTCATAAGTTATAAAACATATAAATACATTTGAGCAGATGAAATGCCCACAATTATTTGCATTATGTTTATTGATGTTGATATAATTATGCAGGGTACAGTATGTCTAAGGAGTGGCTACTATATGTTTTTGCACTGTGTGCTATTTTTTTAGTCCAGTATCTTACACCTTATACTCACACAAACACACAACCCTTTTGTCATAAACCCACTGCTGTACAGTAGGTTGCACTGGCACTGAGGTAAGTGGACAAGAGTGACTAACAGTTTGTTGAGGTGGGCATTAAGAGTGAATTTCACGGATCCTTATATTTTCCACATAAATGTGAAATTGTTCACTTCCAATAAACATTTACTCACTGAAATAACAAAACATCATAGATAGATAGTTATCTAAGGTCTAGTGTCTTGGTGAGAGCACTGTGTTAATTTTGGACCAGAGAAGGAAGGGCAGTTTCTGACCTTGGTTGAATTGAAGTGACAGGCTACCATTCGTTTTCTGCAGAGGCCTGCCAGTGAATGGCTGAATGTGTTTATTTCGAGGCCAATGGCCCCTTGTCAGGCATGCTGTCCTATGCTCATTCTGCAGTAGAGCTGCCCAGACCCATGGACTGTATGTACCTGTAGAAACAGGCTTCCCCATTCTCATTCTCTTACATCTGCTTTTAGTTATTAGGAAGCTCTGATGCATCTTGTAATATTCACTCATTCTACAATTTACCTCTATATATTTCTTTAACATCAGTGTATATTTACAGCCAGTATAGCCAGTAGTAAGATCTTAGAAGCTCAGGAAGGTTGAATTTTTTTAGTATTAGGATGAGACACCTCTAAGGAAAATAAAGTTGGTGCTGTGGATAGCATTTGGGGTAAAATAGGTGGCTCTCTTTTTTCTGGGATAGGATTTTCAAGCCAGTGCCATACTATAGGACAGTACCATCCTTTGGACGAGACAGCAAATTGAGGTCCAGGCTGGTTATTTAAACTGAGGGCTTTTACAATCTGGCCTATCTAACGTTCCCCCTTAATTCAGTTGATGAGGTAGTTTTAGCCCTTCACTTGATCTTCTTTTTTGTAGTTCTGCTGCTGGCACTTAATACCTGTTTTGTGTCACATAGCTGAGTGCTTCACTTCAGTGGTGAAAGTGGTGAAGTACTGTAGCTTTCATACTATGTCTCAAAAGGATCCTGAGATCCTTGGTGGAAAGTGTGGTGAAAATACAAGGGATTGATAGTATTCTGTAGTATTAAAAGTACAACAAAGGGTGAATTAATATGTACAGCTGTAGTTTTCAGATTGTGTGGTCACACAAAGTAGAAGCTAATCTTAGCAGGTTATAGGGCCTTGTTATAGGTCGATGCAGTGGCTCTGTGGCTAAGGATCTGCACCTGTGGCTAGAAGGTTGCCAGTTTGGATCCCATGGCTGGCAGAGGAATCCTACTTCATTGGGCCCCTTAACCCCAACTGCTCCAGGGGTGCCATATAAGTGGCTGACCCTGCGCTCTGACCCCAAGCTTTTCTCCCTGTCTGTGTGTCTCATGGAGAGCAAGTTGGGGTATGTGAAAAGACAAATTCCAAATACAAGAAATTGTATATGGCCAATAAAGTGATCTTTTTTAGATATTCAGATCAGAAGTCAAATTATCCTTAAACTAAGCTCACTTCCCCTCTACTTCCAATGATCCACAAGTTTCATTCTAAATCTTTCCATTCATTTTTAGAATTCTGCTGCTTCCTTGCAGAAATTGTTCACTTATCCACCTCTTTAGCCTCATTTCATGTCCCTCCATCAATTTTCATATTCTTTATTTTTACTCTGTTGTTCTCCTTACCCTTACCTACCCCTTTCTCTTCTTCCTGCTCTTCCTCTTGTTTTACACACCCGAAGAAAACACAGCAGACAATATAGTGCGTTTTTAAATTTCTTTTTACTTTCCAGGGTGGGAATAACCTTTGCAGCTCAGACACTGATACAGCTCAGACCTATGTGTGTATATTATACTGCATATGCATAGTGGACTAAAATCACCACAGATGGCTTTTAAATTTTATGCCTGCCAAAAAGATCCAAAGTGATTGGAGAGGAGATGTTAAAGAACATGAATCAAAAGTGCCTGGAATTCTCACGCTTCCTGTACAGGATGGAGTTAGTGATGTCATACTTTATTTATAGCACAAATGAGAGCTAAGGCAATTGAGAGTGCACCATGGGAATAAACATATAAAATGCATTTCTAACTAGAGCCAGGCTTGCAGACACGGAGGTGGGCTAGCTGTAGAGGGTGGGAAGGGAATCATGCTGCTAGTTTACAGGGCCATAGGAAATGACCACAAATGTTGTTTATTTACGAAATGATGGCTATAAAGTTTATGTTTAATTCAAAAGGGCTCAAAGCTAAGTCTTCATAACCTTTTGCTTTGTTTTTGCTAAGCAGCAAAGAATGCTGGTACTGCATCTTAGGCAGAGAAAGTACATAATTACTATGAAGAGAAGCAGACTATAAAATGTTGAAACCCCACCCCTTGGAATTTTAAATGGGCATTTAAATTCAGTTCACCTTTAGTTCCATGGTTTGGTGTCTTTACTAGGAGACAGAAAGGGTAATTTCTGAGTGGCCAGTTATTGTTAATCTCTGATTATCATTACAATGTACAGTGGCAACTGTGCAGCCGCAGATTGTATCTACAGTACCAGGAGTGTTGAAAGACAGTTGGCTTCTTTTCATGCTTGTGATATATCCATGTGCGTACAAGCACAGCTCCCACTGACACAATTTAGTAAAACAGGCACCTCCACAAAGCACAAGAGGAATCACTGCTAAACAGCAAGAATATAGGTGCCTACAAAGATTAAAATGTGCACTTGTACACTTACCAAAGGTACCAAAGGTAGTCAGTCACTTGAATCAAAACAATATTTTTTTTATTGTAGAGAGTCCAAAAGATGAAGATTTCATCTTTTGGACTTACTACAGGAAATGTATAACATAAGTTACTGTTATGTCAAAATGAATAACTTTATGTAGTATATTATTATTGTTAAGAACACATCCAGCACCAATTAACTCCAAATTATTCAATCTTCATTCCACACCTTTCCCCACAATTATTTAAACCCTCTGCTCACTGCTACTGCTACTCTGTATTAGGATTTCATCCGCCTTACCTCGCCCTGCCCTCCTTTCCTGAAACCCTCTCTACCTTGTCTGTATCCCCTCACCTACTACTCTTTGTCTTTGGATATCTCGTTACCTCTCTCTCGTCTCACCCCTCTCGGATTTGTTTGCCTTACTTCATTCTCACTACCCGGATTTGACCTTGCCTGGAAAAACTGACCACTCTTCTTTGTCACCCTTCTCGTATACTTTAGCCTTTGGACACTGTCTTGAGACCTGTACAGGGTTTGTAAATAACTTGTCGCTAACAATTATAAATATGCATAGCAAGAGTCCCTTCAGAAATAAGTTTATTTAGATTTTGTTATATAAGCTATTGATTTAGAATATTACTTGATTTACAGATATGAAATTTCATCCTCACCCAGGGAAATAATCTCCTAAATGGAGGCTGACAACCTGAAAAGGGGGCAGTATAAAACTAGAAATAGGGTTTTCTGATTTTCACAGGCCGATTAAAGTAACCAGATCACTATATTGTGATATTTGTTAGAAAAACTCATACACAGTGTGTGTTATACAAAATACTTCAATAATATATTGAACACAATGATCAAAACTAATAATTAAGAGATTAAAGTCAGGTTTGACAAAGAACCTCCAGCCTTTGATCTTATTTTGTCCCTTTTGATAATAAGGTGAAATGTCACTTGTACATCTACAGTGAATAAATATACTATATTTCTTTATGTATTGCATTTATAAGAAAAACGTTGCTAGAATAACAAAATACTGGTTAAATTAAACTTCAAAGTTGGTTGTCTGTTTAAGTCACCATGAAAAGCACACTGGGGGTTCAGTTTACACATTTGGCTTCTTAAAGGAGGAGATTGTTTACCCTGTAGTTCTTCATTGTTAAATTGTATATGAGAAAGGTGATTTTGACAAGACAGGAAGACCACGTTAGACTATAAACAGAGCAAAGCAGTTAAAAGC